CCCAATACCACAACTACCCACCAGCCTAATACGACAACAACCCACCAGCCCAATACGACAACTACCCACCACCCCAATACCACAACTACCCACCACCCCAATACCACAACTACCCACCAGCCCAATACGACAACAACCCACCAGCCCAATACCACAACTACCCACCAGCCCAATACCACAACTACCCACCAGCCCAATACCACAACCCCAACAACAGCTCCTCCTACGCCCACGCAGCCTGCTAATCTCACACAGGGTACTTACAACGTGACTGGAACAGATGGCAATGTTTGTATCTTGGCTCAGATGACTCTTCGGCTCATGGTGCAATACAAGAATACAACAAACAGCATGGTACTAAACCACCGACACATATGGATTCACTTGCCTTACAGCAGCAGCTGAACAGCCCCAGGCAGCAGTCTCTGTGTTAGGCTCTTGAGAACATGCAGGTTCCTGGACATTTTGCCCACAAAGAGCCAGTTTGTTAACACAGTGCTAAAGATACCTTGAAAAGCTGAGTGTTTAAGACATCAGGTATTTGGATGGGCTGCATTTGTATATCACTGAGAATACACAGAGTTTAGTTAAAGCTATTTTTACTCCACAAAGAGAGATTTTGCCTTTTTCTTTATTTGCTACCCATGTCCTTTTAAAACAACTGTCACGAGGACTAGACAGTGTTTTCTTTTGATATAGCCAGCAGCTAATTTATATTACCATGCAACTCACATTGCAACCCACTGAAGCTCAGCAGGTGTGAGCCTGGTCAGTACCTGGATGAGAGGCTCCTGGGAAAGCTAAGGTTGCTGCTGGAAGCAGTGTTAATTGGAACTGTAGAGGACACTCATGCTGCCGTCGGTTTGGGTCCTAATGCCCCAGTGTAGTGATGGGGACACTATACTGTAAAAAAGACATTGTCTTTCAGATGTCTCTGTGGTCATTTAAAATCCCAGGGTGTTTCTCAAAAAGAGTAGGGGTGTTACCCTGGCATCCTGGCCAAATTTCCCCCTGGCCCTTACCAGTTATGTTCTCCCAATAATCCCCATTTCTGAAATGGCTTCACCTCTGTTCTCCTCCCCACTGAGAGCTGGTGTGTATTGAGCGTACTGGCGCATTATGGCTGCTGTTGCAGCATCATGATGGGGGCTGCACACTGGTGGTGGTGAAGGGGAGTCCCCATTACCTGTAAAGCACTTTGAGTGGAGTGTCCAGAAAAGTGCTATAAGAGTGTAAGGAATTGCTCTTATTATTTTACTAATCTAAATTGGGCAAAGGCAAGCATCTGTTTTCGTTGGAGTGTTTAGTTCCTTTCGATAGAAGAAATAACAGTAAAGAAAGAATAAGAGAGGCTCAGTAATGCAATAAATAGCAGAGGGGGATTCAGAAAAGGGAGAAACAGTGCTTCCCCATTAAAATAACCCCCAATTCAGGAGAACATAAGAGCCCAACCTCTTGAGTAAACGATCAGCGCAATGTGACATTTGGGGAAGAGAGCATTCACCATCAGCACCTCTCCGCCAGTGGACACCCGCCCCAGAAGTCAGGAGAGTAATAAGGCAGCTTTTTCCAGACATGGTGATATGAAAGTGAAACAAGTCACTGAGGGAAAAGCCTGGGTTTAATTCAGCGCTCACCAGCTCTTTTCTTGTCGTGTGAGGTCAGTTTCTCTTGACAAGATGTCTGACCTGAAGACCAGAACTGGGCGGTTTTAATTGCTTAGTAGGTGAATTTTAAAGAGTATGTTGTTCTTACTGTGCTGCAGTAACGCATTGTTTAAAAAATTAAGGGTACAAAGCCAGGGCTGCAAAAGATGCATGAAAAATTAAAGCTGGCAAAAGACCAGAATTCCTGCTTGGTATGGAGAAGCTCCTCTTTCATTAAATCATTTATACATGTGGAGTGTTACTAAATGTATCAATCAGTCCCATTCACCAAGCTTAATTCATTTGTAATTAACTCAAGCTAGAGACTTAACTGACAGATGACAAGATATTTAATAGAAACCATGCAGAATAAATTTGAATAAAATGGTTAATAATGCAAACCTTTGGTCCGGTTAATAGTATAAAAAGTGCTGAGGAACGGATAAAAGAAATATCCTGAATTAACTGCTGATTTTCTCCTCTTTCAGGTGCAGGGCGTGTTCATCGTGCAGCCTCAACAAACCAGAGCCTCAGGGAACTGCAGTCACACCAAATCCAGCCTCATGCTCAGCTTCCATCAGGGACACATCACCTTCCTGTTCACGAAGGTACGACTAGGGCAGCAGCACAGCGCAGGTTCCACCAGGCCTCTGTGCGCAGGCAGGTTCCACCAGGGATGTGGTTCACATCACTGCCTGGCTTCCCTGCGACTCTGTATTGGATAAAGCAGTAAGAAAATGAATGTATGGATGGATTGTGAAGAATATAACAGCATAAATTAAAATGTGGACAACATTAACAGCTTTAATATTTATAAATATATATATTTAAATTATATTCCCCACTAAGTGATCATGGCTTCTGGAATAAAACAGGCTTCTTGATATCAACAGCAGAAGGGCTTTTTAACCTTGTTTGGATCAGCTTCAGGCTTCCCTCAGGTGAAAAGCTTTAGGAGACAGAAAAAAACTGATAAGTTAAGAACTAAAAAGTATATAGCTTCGTTTTATACTAGTCCATTTTGTTTTCCATAGGTAATTGACTCAAGGGTCTAATCCAGCCATTTCTTGATAGAAGCCAGAGAATGATCTTTGACTACATTGTTGGATAGCTTGTTCTAGACTCCCACAACTATCTGTGTAATGAACTGTCTCCTGTTCTCAATTTTAAAAGCACTTTTATGTAGCTTGGAAAGAGATCTTAGAAGGCCCCAGGCCTTTTCATTTACAGTATACAGTACTTTAGTATTTTTTGGAAAGCAGATCATAAAACGAACTACAATCATTTGCTCTCAGTCTGTATGCTTTGCCGAAACAGTACGGGATCAGTCTGGCTACAGTCACTGCCACTGCAAAGCTAACTTGCAAGACGGTTTCTAAATTAAAATGAAATTAAACCAGCTCTTGAAGCATAAAGCGACACAACCCTGCAAAGATATTTTAATTTAGAAATGAAAAGAACTACAAGCCAACAGACAGGTGTCTGAGACTGCTGGAGTTGTATTCAAGTTCTGGAACCAAAGATAAGTGTTGGCTTACTGTTAGCACACATGGGTAGGCAGAAAAGGAATCCGTGGGACTTTGGCCCAAAGAGCTGAGGGAGTTTTAGAGAAGCTGTATGGGCTAGTGATTAGAATAAATGAGGGGTTGAGAGAGGGAAGATAGGCTCAAAATCAAAAACTGGACTGTGACTGAGGCAGGGAACAAGAGTGACTTTGATTTCTCATTGTTGGCCTGCCTCTCTCCTTTCTCCAGGACAGCAAGAAGAATTCCGTCTTTGTCGATTCTGTTGATGTCAGCCTGAACTACATGTTCCCAAATGCCAAAGGTAGGTCTTCCTCCAGGCTTTGAAGGCGATTTTCCCTGAAATACCTCTGTTTGTACCTGGGTGTCCAAGCAAGCAGTGAAACAGTGAGGAAGTGTCCAAGTGAAAATGATGCAACAGGCAAGCAGTAAGGCATTGTTTAAAAAATTAAGGGTACAAAGCCAGGCCTGCAAAAGATGCATGAAAAATTAAAGCTGGCAAAAGACCAGAATTCCTGCTTTTCCAACTGCTTTATCAAGTACAGGGACGCGAGAGAGCTGCAGCCTATCACAGCAAGAAATTGGATGCCAGTCTATTGCAGGACACACATAGACACAGACACACACTCACCCCAGGGTCAGGTTTGCCAGAAACTGATTAACCTACCCGCATTTTTTTGGACTACGGGAAGAAACCAGAGCACCTGGGGTACAAAGACAGGGGGAACGCTCATACTCCATACAGACAGCACCATCTTGTTATTTCCCATCTTCCTGGGCCACCTGCAGTGACTCCTTGTGGTGATCTAGGAGAATTGCACCTTGTCTTACCACCTTCTATCCTAATCAAAATTCTCTCTCAGGCATTGTTCTCTACTGTAATTTTTAGATATTTGTCAACTTTTATCTAATATACAGAACAACTGACACAAGCTGACCCTCCCAATGCTGTATTTGTTGTGATATTTTTCCTTCATCGATGGTAATTATTTAGTGACCTGCCATGCTTGATATTCAATGCAAAGCAAATAATTTTTTTTTTTACAGAAACAAACTTTGAAGCTACAAACAGCTCTGTTGAGCTGTTTAAGACTAGGATTGGACACTCTTACTCCTGCAAGAATGAAACAGTGATTATGAGGCCATACCTTTACCTGGAACTGAGTGAGCAGAAGATCCAAGCTTTTAACATCACCAAAAACACTTTTGGGCCAGGTACTGTACGTTTCTTATAATGGTTAACCATACCTTGGAAACTGCTTTAGAACCCTCTAAAAAAAATGTAAGCCAACAAAAAACACAATGAACATATCTGTGAGCTGGCCACCCTCCTGTCATTACTATTGTTTAGTTTTCAACAGAACGCAACACAGCGTAGGAGCCAGGCTTCGGAACAGGGAGTTGTTTGTGCTGTCCAATTTTTATCTGACCGTACGTCTGCTTAACTAGATGACCTTTTCAAATTGTGTCCAATCTGCAGGTTTTCTCTTGCACTGTGAGAAACGTAGAGTATAATTCTAAAGCTTGTTTGGAGTGAGGCTATCACTAAATTACAATCTAGAAGCCATTCGGCTGTAACTTCACTAATGGAACTGAAATGCAATAAACATTTTTCAGAAATGATTAATTCCAGTGGCAAAACGTTAGCCAAGTTGTTACTATGTAGAAGTACAGTATATAGTACTTCTGGATTAGACAAATTGTACACACTAGTTCTTCCCAGTGAACCAAGAGCTACCTGAAACTGCCAGGACATCATGTGTGTTATAAAATGTCCCAGCTGCAACAGACTCTTGACCAGCGGCCCCACAGATATTCTTGATATCATGGAACTAAATTAAACCATCAGATGTTTTGGGCTTGGTGGAGAATTAAATTCCTGACCCAATTTGAAGTAAAAGCCACCTTTTTAATAAAATCAGTATTAAAACTAAGAAGCTCAGCTTTTCTGGGTTGGTCAGATCTGCCGCCTGGAGACGGAATGGTAAAAAAGGAAGCTGGTTTCTGAGAGAAAAATTGTAAGTTTAGAGAAGTGAGACTAAGCAAGTGAACTGCCTTGTTGCAGTTAGTGAAGGACATTGGAAGAAGTCCAGTTGGAAGCTCAAAGGGGAGCTTAGGAGAGAGAGAATCTTTATTATCTTACATCAGCAGACAATATTTAGGAAAACCAGAAACAATACACACATATACTGTACATGCACAAAAGAAACATTTGCTCAGCAATGTAATAGCCATAGGTATAAATGAGAACTGAAACCTATTTGTTTTTTAGATTTGGCAAGCCTTTATCTTTGTTATGAGGGAAATAAATGGAATGAATTAAACAAAGGGTGTGAATAGGCATGGGACAGGGCTGAAAGATCAACACTAAGGACTTTCAGATATAGTCTGACAATGCTCCTACTCCACAGTTTCAGGGGTACCCAGCAAAGGTTAAAGCAAATTTAATAAGACTGATAAAGCATGATCAGCAATGAATGATCAAGCTTAAAATATTTAAGCTTCTTTAAGAAAATAGACGCTGTTGCCCCATTTTGAAAATAGAATCAAGCTCAGTTTTGCCTCAATGTTTAACTTGCAGTTACTGTAGGATTTTGTTTGTGTTTTGACATTTTCCTTTAACACTTTTCCATAAATACCACTGGCGTGTCTTTTCTGTTGATTTACTGATCAAGTCTTTTCATGTGTAATGGCCATAAATTATTGTTGATCTGGTTTTATTTCCTTGAGAGCTGCTTGGGATGGTACAAATTGAGATAGAAGCGTTCTCAAGCATGGTGAGGAACGACAAATGTCATACACACTGTCCTCACCTAGTCACCTTGTGTCGCTGCAGCTGACAACTGCCCTGCTGACAAGCCCGACTACAGAGTGGCCATCGTGGTGGGCGTGGTCCTCGCCCTCCTGATCATCATCGTCGTCATTGTGTACTTGATCGGCCGGAAGAAGAGGACGAGCGGGTACCAGGCCCTGTGAGATCTGCCGCCACAAAGGGGAAACCTGCCCCCTGCCCGGAGACACACCCAGGAAGGCAGGGATCAAGATCTCTTTCTCGGCAGGGCTGATGTATAAAAATGGAGATTGTGTCCAATCTTCAGCTTCCATCATTCTGTGCAAGTTTCCTTTTTATGGCAGTGCTTTACCTGGGCAGTTGACTTTATCAAAGACTCACCCACAATTCTAGGGCTAAGGCCTACTGCACACTGAACAGTATTGCATGCAGATGAACATCCTTCCTTGAAAGGAGATGGTTTGGTTTTGTCCTCCATGTCTCTTATGCAATAGCACCCCCCAATCAACTGCAGTAGACAGGCTTCGTTGTGCGGCCCCCAGGCATGGACTCCCAGTGGATGGCTGTGGTCTTATTAGGTGTGGGATGCATGTGGAGAGACCAGAAGTCTAAAGGGGGTTAATCAAAGGGCTTTCACCTCTTTTCCTTGGAAAGGCTTTCAATTAATATTCATTCTTAATAGCGATCCTTGTTACCTGCTTGAAGAACGTTTTTTTCCCTGTGTTATGATACAGTACATGCCATAACTGTCTAAGTAATTTCACATACTGTATACTGTACTTGCTACATTTGCTCCAACACTATATACGTAATTTTTCTAGGAGTTCCCACACATCAGGGTTCTTGATTTTTTTTTTAGCTTTTCCCCCAGCTCTGCCACTCACAATTATACATATAAAATACATTTTCCAAAGCACCGGTATGATCCAGACTTGTACATTTGAGGTCTTAAAGGTCTTAAACAAGAAAATAAAGGTGCTGTTGCTGCAGTTACATTCAGAAAGCACCTAGGAAGAGAAAGAGAACTTGTACACAATGATGGAAAACGGTTCCCCTGCTTTTTTTCTAAAGAATGTGATTTAGCTCAAGGTGAAGGTTCAAGGTAAAGAGGCGGTGCACCAGCTTCTTTTTAGGCACAAAGGGTCAATTACAGATCTGGAGACCTGGGATCAGGTTAGGTCTTCAGTAAACTTGCCATTGTGGGATAGCTGTGCACAGAAAGAGGGTTTTTGGACAAAAAGAGTGATCTTTGAATTGAGCCAGCACTTTATCTGACTTTAAAACAAGGTATTTTTCTGGTCTGACCCAGCCCTTTCATATTCTCCTATGGCTGAGGAAAGAAGAAATATGTGAAAAAGAAACAGAAATGTTCTTGGATTGTAAATCAGTGGCGTATCCCATGAGCACAAGCCAGGCTTAAGTCTTCTACTGTGCATCTTTAAGATACTTGGCTTGTGAGCAGGAGATACTACTCTTACATCTGAGCTGGATAGCGCCTTCATGAGTCATATAAGACACACAGAGAAGTAAGAGGAGGTATAGCACTTGAAGGAAATAGAAATCAAGTTAAATCTATTGAAAATTGAGATATTCTTATTACCAAAGTGTTCAGAAGACCTGTAAATCAAAACTGAACCTTTTCTCCTCTGGTATTGTAGTTCTCCTCTTGTAATGCTATAGAATACGTTTGTCAATTTTCCTAGAATATTTTGTAAAGTGATAGAGGAGGCATTGCGTGCCCTGAGATTTCTGATGCGATGTCTGTCGGGTATACTGGGGGAATCTATCTTGCTGTGCTGTGTTTCGCATGAGAGATGCAGAAGACATTTTTCCTAAGTTGGTGAAGTGAAACACTGGTGAAGACTCTCGCTGAAGGAGGGAGCAGATTGATGTATTATACATTTTGGAAGGGGCTGCAAATAAGGATATTTGTTAGTTTCGGTCATGTCTAAAACCAGTTATAATGACGGACTTCTGAAAGGGTGTCTGTCAAACCCAGAGCTCAAAGCAAAGGGTTTGAATAAACCTAACCTGCAGGAGAGGACTTTGGCACACGTCTTTGAGTTCCTTCTTCATCGTAGTGTCTGGTATCTCTGGTGACAAGCCGTCCAGAGTAGCCTGTCCTGTTGGACTCTGATCACTTAGACCTGTTTGCAGCATCTTCACAGATATACATACGTTGAAGTGAGAAAATACTAAAATTATGGTTTGAGAAGAAGTGTTCTTTACTTTGAACTCAGGACAGATGTCTTCAGTACAATACCAAAGACAGTCAAATCAATTGTTTTACATTTAAAGGTTGAAAAACCATTTCTGTTTTACAGTTCTGATAGATCCTCTCAGTTGATTTGAAACCAATAATTTTGAATACTGATATAACTGGTTCTTCCAAAAACAATGCAAATTCTTATTCCTAATTAGAAGTTGGAATGTGTTTTTTTTCACAGTTTTGGTGGAGGGCACTATTTTTGTAACGCTGTTTGCAATTATGCCGATGAATACATTTAAATAAATATTTAAACTCCAGGCCATGTTTCATTGTGAGTTCCTTAAGAGAGATGTGTGATGTTGCTCTACAGAACAGATGGCTGTGATTTGCACTCTCCTCACTTTGGAACGGTCAAACTCACCTTGCTGCTCTGCTCGTTGATGGGTTATTGATGGTACGAGGGAGGATCCAAATTCAGTTGAATGAACCTGATCAGGGGCAGTACCGTGGTACAGTGGTTAGCATTGCCGCTTCCCTGTGCTGGGGCCCTGGGTTCAGTTACTGGGGGGCTTTCTGCATGGAGTTTGCATGTTCTCCCTGCGTTTGTGTGGGTTTCCTCTCGCAGTCCGAACACATACTGGTAAGTTGATTGGTTTCTCAGAAAAATGGCCCTACCTTGGGCCCATTGCTAGTCGGCACAGGCCTCCAGCTCCCCCACAACCCTGACTTGGATAAATCCTTCAGAAAACGGATGGATTAAATCTGATCAGTGCTGCTTCCTCGGTTCCTAAATCCCGGAGGGTGTGGATCACCTGGTTTTGTGTTCTGCAGAAGTCACGTTGGGCAATATGAGCTGTATCTGGTAGGTCCATGTAGTGTTTATGTCCTTCTGTATACCGTTTGTTGCTTCTGCACTGTTTATATCTCTTTTGTTCTTTTGCATCATGCACAGTTAGCAACATCCCCGTGTCTGAGACAAGACTGTGGATATAAACTCAATATGTAGTAAGGAACTGCGGCCCTCACCAGGAAAAGTGGAGTGAAAGTGGATGGATGTGGTAAGGATTGTAGTTTCTGCTGATCTTCCACTAGAGGGCATTAGGTTCACATGCCATGCATTAATGAGTTAATCGGTGAAGGGCTTAAAATCACATTCTCATGGGGACTTAATTTAGCAGGGTCAGCCATTTTTACAGCACCCCTGGAGCAGCTGGGGTTGACAGTCTTGCTCTGAGGCCAAACAGAGTAGGATTCCCCTACCAGCCACAGGAATTGAACTGGTACCCGTCCAGCCACAGGCACAGATCCTTAGCCACAGTGCCACCACTCTGCTCCTAATGGGGAGGGTTGGTTATTGTTACATCAGTTTAGAGCAGGTCTCTCTTTGGCACACAGAATTTTGTTAAATTAAAGTCTCTTTGCACAGTGTTGGACTGGCCATTGTAATTTTACTATGTGCTCAGGCCTCCCGAGCCACCTGGGTAGAGGTACTGGTACTTAGAGGGCATACTGAAGGGACACACACATGCCTGAAAAAGAAGTATCAAAAAGAAACCATGTGATACCTTGTATTGATTTGCTTGCAGTTTATTCGGCAAAGTGCTTAAATCATCCTCCAGCACACTCAAACTGGGTTACATGGTACAGTACATTTGAATTTGTCTCCCCTTGCTGAAAATGTAGCTGTGAAGTATAAGTCTTTGAGATCTATGAGCGAAAGAGAAGCGATGTTCTAAGTTTGCTGCACAAAACTATTGAAGTATTCGTGCTTACATTTTGAGCATAACTTAAGTGATACATTTGAACATTAACTGAATAAATAATCATCAGTATCTTCATTACACATTCCTTTATAGAAAAATAGCTTTGAATTGATAGACTAACAGATCGCTAATTAAGATGTGTTTAAGCTTAATTTCCGGGCTGGTGTTGGCAGAAACTTGGGATTCTGCTCCTCATGCTTCAGGAATGCAGGAAACAGATATAAAAAGACTCCCTGTATGGAGGTGTGGTAGAGGGGCAGAACTGTGGCCCAGCCCAGGTTAGTAGCAGACAAAGGGCAGTTGCTCGTAACAGCAGGAGTCATACCAGTAGAAATTGCCCCTGCTGTCCTTCTGTGCGGCCCCACACAGCTCGTCCAAGGGGTGGCTGGGTTGGCCCTCTGCCCAGAGCTGGTACTCCAGTACCTGCTCGTTGGTCCAGTACCACTGCTGCCAGGCCATGTGTTTCTTCAGACCCAGCCACACCTTGTCCAGGGAGTGTTTTTGGAGCGTTTCCTCCAGCTGTTTTTGGTCCTTGACGTCTGCGATGCTCAGGAGGTCGGTGTAGTTTGTGCGGCAGTAGCTCAGAGCATCCTTCCATTCTCTCTTCTGCGAGATGACATACAGTGTCCTCTGGACATCTGGGGGCACCCAGAATGAATAGAAAATTAGAGTTATTTTCTTTCAAAGAAACGTTGTCTGTAGACGGAAACCTTAGTATTGTATTAACCTCAAATGAACCAGATTTTAGTGAGAAATCTTTCTAATTATAATTGCAACTCAGAGACTAATGAGAGTTATGAGAAGGTCCCTGCACACCTGTATGAGTCTGTATTTATTTTTCATGAATCTTCATGATTTGATTTGAGGTCTGACATGAGCCCTAGCTTTTCAGCTGTGGACGTTCTCTTGCACATCATGGGGAAAAAAGGTGGAATTCAAATTAAATTTTGGTTTCCCATTACATTTTCATCAATTTCCCAACTGGATTAATAAAGTATTATCTATCCGTTTTCTTCAGTTTTTCTTCAAACCTATTTCAACTGAGTTCTCAAGAATGTTTTTTAATGATAATGGCTTTGAAAGAGTTTATGAATGGCTTGTTAAACCCTACAGTTTGGGGGTTCCTTCCTTCTGACAAGAGCATCTGATCTAGTTTATTACTTAAATATGTTAAGATAGTGTGGTAGGAGGTGTTAGAAATGTTTTAGGAGAGCAACAGTATGCTAGGTGACAGGATAGGGACAGACGGAACAGATTCTTTGCAACCAAACACTTGAAGAAAGGGGACCATCAAGGACAGAGGCTGCGAACAGTTTTTAAAAATCTCATTAATAAAGGGATTTAATCCAATCAGCCAATCATGCAATCAGTGAATAAATCAAACAATTGATCCAATGTTTGGTCTATTGATGGATGCATGGACACTGAGTGGAGAAGAGCCAGAGGATGAAGGGGTTTCTGGGTGGTGTGAATCTATGTGATACCCCTGCATGACAATTTACATGCTATTGTTGACACATGGCTTGAAGAGGAGAGAGAAAAAAAGCTTTTGGATTCTTCATATTCAACATGGAAATCCACGTGACCCTTCATTTTTCCCATTTGTCTGTGTCCTGCCCCCGAAGAAGAAGGACATGAATAAGCCCATGAACAGGGAACAGCAGAAAACGAATGTCAAAAGGCAGCAGGACGGAAGACTTGAAATGAAAATTATGAGTTATGGAGAGCTCATTACTGACCCAAGCAGACGGACAAGTGTGCATTTCCACAGTCTTCCAGGTTCCACATTTCTGTGACAGGGTCTATGGTCCCGCAGAGCACTGTCTTATTGTTGCTGGCATACTGAGGCGAACAGGGAAAATTCATCCTCTCCTTGTTGACCCATCTCCACTCACTGCGATTGTAAACCCCCCCAATCCACACCCGCCTCTGCTGGGAGACGTTGGCCAGCTGCAGGACGTCCCGCGCCTCGGAGGCGGTCCGGAAGATGCCCAGGTCTTTGTACCTCGCCTGGCAGTTTTGGCGGGCCGCGGTGAAGCTCCGGTTCTCCTTCAGGAGGTGGAAGGTTCGGACTTCGCTGGCCAGCACGAGCGCACTCTGAGCTGCACAGAGAAACAGGGTGAAGGGGTGAGATCCAGCAGCTGCCACGATGCAAGCAACAAATAAGCTGATCTTTGTGAATTTTTGACAGCTGACCAGCCACTAGAGGTCACTAATGTCCACACTGGGTGATGATTAAGTAGAGAATTGCTGAAGGATTTAGTGGTCTTGTAATGATTAAGGGCATACAGTAAAGGGCATCCATGGTGTTTGGGTGCTTGCAGAGCTTGTAGGGGTGGGTGTTTGATAAGAGAATAGCGAGGCAGCTTTGGAGTCAGGACTTGCATAAACGCTGAAATATAGCCTCCTCCACTGAACAGAATTGTCATTGTGGGTTTTTTTGGTTACTGACACTGTCAGTGTCCTAAAGTGACTTATATGGCTAAATAAATTCCATCTACTATAAATCCTTAAGGCTTCAACACAATAATATTTAGATGTGGATATATGTTTAGTTAGCATGCGCATGTTAGTGACATGGTGGCACAATGATTAGCATTACTGCCTCACATTGCTGGGTTCTTGGGTTCAATCCTTTATTGCTGTCTGCATAGGGTCTGTATGTTCTCCCTGTGTTTGGGTGGGTTTCCTTCAAGTGCTCAGGTTTCCTCCCACAGTCCCAAGACATTCTGGTAGGTCAATTTGGAGTGTGTGCGTTTGTGTCTGTGATGTGCATTGTGATGGACTGGACTTGCATCCAAGGTGTACCCTGCCTTGCCCCTGTTGCTTGCTGTGATGGACTCCTGTTCCCCTGTGACCCAAATTTGGATTAAGCGGCTTGAAAACAAATGAATGATTACCTAATGTGTTTTAAGAGAACTGACTAAATGGGCACAGCAGTCAGTGACAAAGCAGCACATTGTTTTAGAATACAGTATTATGGAATATAAGAATTTGATTCTATCACGACAGAGTGTACAACCACATCTCTTTCGCTCAAAATCCCATTAAACACATACAATTATTATACAGAACTATTTATGTAGGAAAGGGACAGGTTGTGGCAGAGTTAACAACAAACTAATTAGGGATCCCGACTTGAAATTAGAAAGGTTTGTGGGTTCAATTCGTGCAAACTTTTGTATCCTTAAGCAAAACACTGCACCCCAATTATTCCAGTAAAATGTACAGCAGTAGAAATGAGTGCAAACAAAAGTTGCTTTGGATAAAACATTAGCCAAATAAGATAGAAAGTGCAGAAGTTGCTATTTTTTGTTTATATTACACACAAGGGATGTAAATAACAAATATGCAAAAACGGCATTGCACTGGAAAAATAAAAACCCAGCACAGAGAAACTCATAAAGGACTTTTGTCCTTTGACTTCATAATTCTGAGCTACAGTATGTCCCCATTTTGTTTCTCACTTTTGTAACCCAGAAAAAGCAACTGTACAATTGTTGCTGTTGCTATTCATGATGATTGCAGGCCTGAAAAGGGATGCAACACTAGTGAATTAACTACTGAATTCACGCAGACTGGGGACGCAGAGATCAAGCTACTTGAACTTGGACTAATGGCCAGGCAGGATTATCAATGAAAATCTGTATAATTGTTAAACTCAATGCCATGAGCTGGGTGCACAATCTGTCTCTGATGCAGTGCTAAATGCTTGTTTGGATCTCCTCGCAGAGCTAACTTTCAGAAAAAGCTCACCCAGTCGTGGAGTAGGTGGGTCCCTACTCTCACAGACACTTATGAGGGGATCATGGCTATTTACCTTCACCAGGAATTCCTAACCCAGGTGGGAGGCAGGTGGGAGTTGTGGAGACTGATCCCAGGCTCTGAAAGCTAGAGACAGCTGATACACAAACTCCCAAGTGCTCGCACACCATCTGGAAAAAAACAGTATATAAGCAGGCAAAGACTCAATCTCCACAATCCTCCACCTCTTACAGAACCTGCTTGATTAGATAACAGCACCTGGAGTGCTTTCTGTTGGCAGTACAGTGACAGCTTGTCCCAACAGGATCATCAGCCACAGCCACTGTGCCTTTATCACCACCAGACATCTGCTTTCCCCGAGTGAGCTATGTACAGTAACCCAATTTCAATCCAGTCAGAACTCCGCATTTTAATGCAGATCCAAATCTAGGACACTCACTCACCCAGCAACAGGAAGAGGACCCTGTCGTTCTTCATTGCCTGCACGCTGTCTTCCCGGCACTCTTTTGGGGAAACAAAATGGAAATGAATGGTTCCTTCACATCTTTGTCGAGCGCCGCGTTCGCAGTCTTGCGTTGTCACCTGTTTTGTGTTGTCACGTCTAGACTGTCAAAACTCCTTTTTAGTCACTTTTCAGTAGCTTTTGAATCTCTCTGACGATCTGTTCCCTAACCCCTTCACACTGTAATGCCCAAGCGCCCCAGTGGCCTACCCCACCTACCTCTTAGTATCTGAGCCACAAGCACGAACAAGCTTTTATTTCTTCAGTTTAGTGTTTAACTTGACAGGGTCTCTCTCTTCAGCTCTTTGATCTCTACTGCGCATTGTGGTTTGTTATATTTTACACAGAAGTGTTTGTCTGTAGGCTACGTAGGCACCATTCAAATCATGTCTAGGGCCTGTCCTATTCAAAGCACCTAGACGCACTGGTCATGCTGAATTCAAATCATTCTGACTAGGTTATTCCCGGATTCATTCAAATGATCTGAGTTCTGTAGCTTAGCACTCTGAGACCATTCTTTAAAGAAGTCTTTTCTGATTTATCTTGATCAAAAAGGATTTGAGCTGTCCAGGAGGCCTGTAAGGAGTTCCCACAGCCATTCTGGAACAGCCTCTGCAATAGTTCAGCAGCACAGGACACAATGTACCAGTTTAGAGAGGCGAGAAATTTTCCACTCCTTCAGGTTTTAAAGCAGGGGTCTGAATCTGTACTGCAGCCTGCAGGGACCCCTTTGGTTCTCAAAATCTGTTCTCGCATATCTGATCAAAAATATTTGAAGGAGGTCAGTTCTATAACCCAAAGATATATCACTATAGAATGAAAGAGAAATACCTGTATTTATTTTAATTTCACAGTAAAATTAAGAATACTTGAAAAGTTATATGCTGTTTTTATAATTATATGTTTTATTTTATTTTTATTTGTTATTATTATTGTTTTAACTTTTTAGACTTATATATTTATTTTACTTTTGCAGTAAAATTAAGAATACAGGGTAAATACACACTGTTTTGTAAAGGAATTAGTAAATTCCATGCTGAAAAGAGAACAAAAGAAACACAACGTTTTGGCTGTAGAGCCTTCAGGTGTGACTTCTCTTTTCAGCATGGAATAAACCTTTACTCCTTCCTTTGCCTACGCATGCTGACGCAGCCACCTACTTGAACCACTTTTTTTGTACGTTTACTTTAAAATACCAAGGTGTGTCTTTGTATGGGTGAAAGAAAGTATTTGTACTAACAGTAGGTGCCTGTGATTGATTTGTGTTTCCGAGGATTCACCTTCTAGAAAATAAAAATCTTGCAACCCCAGAAAAGAACAACTGCTTTATAGCAATCGGATGTAATCCCATACTCATACATCAGTTGTCAGAACCGATACGTTGTCTTTCCCTGTTTCCACAGCCAAAGTTTCTTCTGCCCCAACTCCCTAATTACAAATTTCCTAAATGCGTCTTCTTAATGGGTAATGCTGTTTCTTGTGAAATAATGTTTATTATTTACCCCTTATATAGGAAGGAGTAAACACCTTTGTCTCTGGTCATATGTGCACGGAATGAAGTAAAACAAGCCTACAAACTGGTGTTTGATCTCCTTTTAGCACAGAACTGCCTAATAAAATGAAATCCCTTAATTAAGTGCTTTAAGCAGACTGTGACAACAGGACTGGACAGGAGTGCTGCTTCATCACTGGGTTACTGGGGAAAACCCCAGCTTATTCCCATGGCTACTACTAATGGAAAACTGATTGTATGATTTGCTTATTTATTTTTAATCATGCATGTGTCTTATGTAAAATATCTCTCTCACACACTGGTAACACAAATTCTTAGTTTTTATCTAAATTGTGAAGATTACATAGAGTATGTTGCTAACTTTCTCCACTTGTGCATGCATGTCTCTTATTTACAAATGGGTTCATGTTATGTTAAATGCATTATGTACTGTACTGTGTTGTGTCTTGTACCTGCCTGCAAAGCAAATTTTCCATCTAGCGTAATAATGGAGGGAATTGAGTAAGAAATAATGCCCCAGCTGGGGTGATGGGAGAAATCAGGATAAAAAACTCAGGAAATGAATAGTGGAGCCTAGTTAACTCTCCATACCCCTAGAGAGCCCTTGTCTCAGCAAAGTCCATTAGCACAAATGTTTTTTTCTCCCACCTTGATTGGTATCGTTCATTCATTTTAACAATTAATTACAGCTGACCTGCTCTAGATCATATTCTCCCTTGTGACTGAAGCTCTTCAGCTTTCCGTAACAGGTAACACATGACCTGCAGTTCCTCTCTCAAGCATTTAGACATTATTCAAATCTTGAGTGAGACCTGGTCTATTCAAATCATCTTGACTGTACTGCAAATAGCCCATCCAAATTGCTATTTCATTGTTTTAGCTGTTCGTTGAAAGCCATTGCCAGTCGTTTGTTTTCTAGCTATACATCTGTGCATTTATGGTGTTTTTACACATCCATTCATTTTCTAATTGTTTCTTCCAATTCAGGGTTGTGGGGGAGTTGGAGTCTATCCTGGCAAGCAAAGGGCACAAGGCAGGGTACACTCTGGATGGGATGCCAGGCCATCAAAGGGTAGACAGACATAAAGACACACACTCACACCAGGGCCAATTTTTCCAGAAATGAAATAACCTTGCTGTATGTCTTTGGTCTGTGGGAGGAAACCAGAGCACTCAAAGGAATCCAACACGAACACAGTGAGAACATGCAAACTCCATGCAGATAGACCCCCCCCCCAGGTCCCGAAATTAACCCAGGGCTTGAGTGCTGCAAAGCAGCAATGCTAACCATTGTGCCACAGTAACGCCCAGTTCTGGTGTTTATTTTACAACACAGTCCTCCAGTTAAGATGTAACTAACAGTGAACATGTCTTTATTATCCTCCAGGTGTAAAACGCTCTTTTATCATTGTTAGCTACAGTTTGTCTTATTTACTACTTTACTCCACACACCTCCCCGTTTCATTTTGTTGAAAAGAATATTATTGGGATGTCGGGCTCCACAACGGATGAAAATAAATAAGTGCCAGCAACACACACTTGTAGCAGGTCGCAAATTGCAAGTTACAAGAGATATGTGATTAGAGTCAACCGTAAACTTTACTTGAGGGATTTGTGGGACCAGACACTCAGTGGTGACCATGTTCAGTGAAGAGCTGCTTTGGCCTTATTTCAGAAGTAACAGAAGTTGTATGTTTTTAACCAGGCTACAGAATAACTGTTGTAACTTAATTATCTTGGGCTGATATTCTACTAGCACAGCACAGTGGCAGAGTGGTTAGCACTGCTTCCTCACAGTGCTAGAGCCCTGGAGTACTAAGGGGAGTTCTTCCCTTGGGTTTCCTCTGGGTGATCCGATTTCCTCCCACAGCCCAAAGACATGCTGGTAGATTAACTGGCTTCTGAGGAACTGAAGAAACCCTGGTGGGAGTGTGTGTGTGACTGTGTTTGGGTTCGTCCATCTTGCCTTGCTTGCTTGGACAGGCTCCAGCTCCACAGTGACTCTAAATTGGATGAAGTGATTAGAAAATAGGTAGATAATATGATCTGTTATGTTTTGTTACAATCTGTTACATAAAAATGTTATGTTCTAAAATCTTGTTGAGATCAGACCAAACTAAAATGTATTATGCTTTTGATGTAGTTGTGTCCCAGCCTGTTAAAATGTACAGTAGGTACTGTATGAATCAGGGATACTCGTTTTGTGACAGCATTAGCTCACATAAACTATGTGCTTTGTTCTGGTCTGGTGTACCTGTTTGATGAAGGCTATGCCTGGCTTGTGGTTTCCAATCCTTTTTGTACATTGTCTACTAAGGAAATCTTGGCTTTTAAAAGCCAAAGTGATTCACCCTCTTCACTGAACAATTTGATTTGTTTACAGACTAGAAACGTCCTTGGTATCATGGCGTGAGTGGAGGTGGGTATACGGTACGTTACAGTAAGAAATACTGGAAGGTATTTTATTTTATTAGGGCCTGTGTGGTGGGTCTGTGGCTAAGGATCTGCACCTATGACTGGAAGGCTGCCGGTTTGTATCCCGGGGCCGGCAGAGGAATCCTACTCCTTTGAGCCTCTGAGCGAGGCCCTTAACCCCAACTGCCCCAGGGGTGCCGTATAAATGGTTGACCCTCTGCTCTAACCCCAAGCTTCTCTCCCTGTCTGTGTGTCTCATGGAGAGCAAGTTGGGGTATGTGAAAAGACAAACGCCTGTATGCCTAATACAAGAAATTGTATATGGCCAAGAAAGTGATCTTATCTTATTAAATCCCAAAATATTTAACTAGGGATTTCATTTATTATCTGCCATTTTTAGATGACATTAATTTCACTATAAGTGTCTAACAATGGGTTGTGCCCCTGATGATTTTTGTGTGGCGCTCATTTATCATGTGGTTATTTAAATGCAGTTACGGCTGCTCTGGCGTTTGTCTCACTCTAGTGGCTATTTTACGACTCGCACTCTTTTTGTCACAACATGGTAATGTAAAACGGCTTCGCCATTCAATAACTCTTAATCTGTAATCCACTCTAAGTCTCTAAGTAGTTCGGAGCTGATTTCCTGTTCTTTAAAGGTCAGCCTAGTTCAACTAGTGGAGAGATGCAGAAATATGGAGCAGCAAGTAACATCCAGTTGTGCTATTCCTTGTTCAACTTGAAAAAAATCACCATCCACCCAGCAATTTTCTAACCTCTTCATACAATTCAGGGTCACTAGGGAGCCAAAATCTAACCTAGCAAGCAATGGGGACACGAGCACATACAGAGCACAGTCTCTGGACTGTGGAAGGAAACTGAGCACGTGCAGGAAATCCACATGGTTGCACTAAGAACCTACAAGCTCCACACAGATAGACCCTCAGGTTCAGAGGTACATAGGTTATGAGGTACATATAACCTATGGTACATAGGTTAGCAATGCTAACCTATGTACCACCATGTCACCCCCATCTTCTACAATTACACTAACATACAGCACTTTATAAGTACATTTAATCTTAATCAAGAACCATTAAATCTGAATATCTGAATCAACACCATTAAATATTGACTTTAATTGAAGGACCTGACTGCAATCTCCTTTAAAAAGTCAATTTAATAATGAATCCGATTAATAGGCAGGCCAACAGAGTACAGCTGTTTCCTTATGAAGTGTGAT